CCCTCCTCGAGTGGAAGTAAGAGTGGCGAGGCAATAAACTTAACCTACTATATATATATATATATATAACATTATCCCCCCCCCCTCCCCCATGTTCCCGACCCCCAAAGGTGACGACACGGTAACACAATACCCCGAAGAGGGGTCAGATTCTACCCCCGTGGATCCACCGCCCTCGTACACAATGGCAGTAGGGTGAGGGCGCACTGTAAGAAAATGCGTGGGGGTGTGTTGTCGAATCGAGAAAGCTAAATTCCTGAACGTTCCCCTCCACCAAATGTCATTTGTTGCGATGAATTTCTATAATATCCTTCGATTATCTCTTCTTATCCCTACCCGATTTCCGATAAAAAATTTATTATCGCATTAAAAATCCTAGAATCCGTAAGATAATATCGAGGATAAATTACTCCAAAGTGCACGGGATATCCCAATATCCCACGTGAACGAGTAAACGGTTCCCGAAGCTTTGGATAGCTTCTTGGTTATTAACGATCGTCCATTTACGACGAGGAAACACCGCTGCAACGATACCGGCCGAGGAGCAGAGTTTCGAGATTTAACCCGGACAGATCGTAAAAGCAACGATAATAAAAGTTTCGCAAACCGTTGCTTCGCGTCGCTTTATGGCCCGTGGAGATGATGGAAGAAAGACAGGGGAGGGGGAGGGGCGTGTGGGGGCGGCGCGCAAGGGGTTGGGGAGGTCCTCCATTGTGCGACCATCTCATTCTCGCTTATCGCTCTATTCCTCCGCGGGTAACTCGCTCGCAGGTGTGCCTTTTTTACCCGCGGAGCTAGGCGCACGAACAACGTTAACGATTCGAGGAATGCAGGCGTGGACCGCAAACTGCCGGTGTAAAAAGCGATCGCCAACTATCTTTCCCCGACGTTTTATCTCGTTGAGATAAGATAATCGTGTCGTTACGATGGACACGCAAGAATCGTTGTCCAAATAAACAATCACGGATAATGATACGTATTGGATAATGATGCGCGTATAATTTAATGAATCCTGACGTTCAAAGGAATATTTTTTGATCGAACGGCTCGACGATCCGTCTAATCGAATCACGGGTCCAAACACGAAAATTCCCAACACCGATCCCACGATGCTTGCTCCGCTTCCGAGGCAAGTAGATTTGATCGATAAGGTTGAAAAATACGCGCGGTTGCTCTCCCCCCGGGGCGTCGTAATCAACCCGCCCGAGTTATGTCCGTTCCGCTGTAATCGCCTGTACATCCTGCAGGTGTCGCGTTTCGTTGTAAAACGGCGGCCAAGCAACATTTTGCTTACTCTCTCTCTCTCTCTCTCTCTGTGCCCCGGTTGAAGACGATACCTCGTGGACGTGCTGGCACTAATTGCACCACTGGAATAATTGCTCGATAAACATCCTGTTAATCTCACTTTTATGTTCCATACATTGTAGCGATGTAGCACGCGAGGGCATCGTTTTCCCTCTCCGTTCCACGCACACGAAACACGACAATTTCCACTCGCCTCTCCTCTGCATATATATATATATATATATATCCGGTACACGACTTTGTGTTATTATTTTCTCCCTCTTCTTTTACATACATCACGACAATTACGCGTCGTTGCGACGACGATCCGTCCAAATTGTGCGCGCGATCAGTAAATGGAAACGGGTTGGAATTCGTGGAAACGTTCTTAACGCGAGCTTGTCGATTTCTCTTCCTTTTTCTTTCCTCCTGGGAAACTATTGTAACTAGGAGAATGATATCGAGAATTTCGACGATCGTTCGGTGATACGGAATTTTTTTCCATCGTTGCATCGATAAATACCGTCAACTTTAATCGAGAATTCTTTCGTAAACAATACAAAGTTTACGAAACGTAATAATAATCTCGAGAGTTTCCAAGACAGTTCCCTCCCCCCTTTCGAAACTCGCGAAAACAATAAAGTTTATGGAAAATACGTGGACAGCATGGAGTCAACAAGATATACGGTGTTTGTTCGAAAGTATCTCGGAGGGGCTTTTTTCTTCCCCCCTCCCCCCGAAGAAAAAAGCGACTCGTGGCATCTTGTAACGAGAGAGGAGAGAGTGTAGTGTAGAAAAAGAAAGAAAATACTCCGTCACCGGAGTATACAAGAAAGAAAGAAAAATGAATCCTTTCGAGTTTTTCCTTCTTGAAAAGCGAAGAGGTAAGAGAGAGAGAGAGAGAGAGAGAGAGAGAGTGACTCACTCCCCTCTTCCCATTTTTCATCGAATTAAACCGATGATCGATCGGAGAGACGAAGGAAAAATATAAGAGAAGTAATAAGATATATATATATATATATATCTCTTAACATCGACCCCTTTTCACTTCACGAGAATTTTGTCATACGTTTCGATCCAAATACGACGAAGAAGAATCTCCTTCGAGAGCATCGACTTCTATTACCCGGGGATCGGAGGGGGAGGGGCAAAGTGAAACGTACAAAGCGGGGACAAGGTTGGTATAAATAGGGAGGTAGAGACACAAAGCTTGGAGAAGCTACGTGTCGTGGGAGTAAGCGGTGGAAGAAACGTGGAAAAGGCAGCTTCTCTCTCTTCCTTTCCCTTTTTTTTTTTTTTTTTTTTACGTAAGAAAGAAGAGACGAGAAAGAGAGAGAAGACTCCGTTTCGCGATAGTTCTCGAGTTACTCGAAACTCTCTGCTGCAGAGGAGTGGGAGAAAGAAGAAGAAGTTCCACAACATCGCGAAAGTTGTTGTTGAGAAAAAAAGAGAGAAGCTACGTTGGTCGACGAGACCCTCTAAGCTCTAAGTGTATCACATAGTAAATTTAGTTTTCCAACCTCCGTTTTATCCCCCCCGCTGCTCATCCCCCGCCTCCAATTCCAAGGATAGGACTCCACAGACCCCGAACGATGAAATTCCTCCGCTTCTCCTGAGGGATCGTCGGCCATCTTTCAACATGGCGGACCCAGGCCCTGGATCCGTTCGAGCGAATCTGGCCGATCAAACGGAGGCTAAGAGCCACGCTTTCGTTCGAGTTAACTCAATCCACTGCCTCTCTCTCTCTCTCTCTCCCTCCGCCATCCGTCCCACTCTTCTCCCTCCCACTCTCGCAACCCGTCCCTCTCCTCTCCTTCTCCGTAGCCCCCTCCACGCACCGTCTCTCCTTCTCTCCCTCTTTCTTCCTCGCATCCCTCTACCCTGTTTCTTCCGCAACGAGAGAGAGAGAGAGAGATTCCCTCCCCCTCGTTCCAATCGATGAGCTCGCGACAACGGTCGTTCTTTTTTAGAAGAAGGCGCAACGTCTCTCCCGCGGGGGAAGGGAGCGATCGGGGATTCCCTCGAACCTCGAGAGATCCTCTCCTCCCTCTCTCCGCAGGTTTTACACCGGAACGGATAGCCTTTCGACCGTAATTCCGTCGTATCGTCTCTCCTTTCGTGTCGATAATAGATAAAATTTGGTGGGTATCGCGTTTTCGAAAGGGAAGAGAGAGAGAGAGAGAGAGAAAATATAAATTAAACGACTTTATACTTTTTCGCGATCTCGAATCACGTGTTTCCAACGCGGAGGAACAATCTCCAATTCTTCCAAAATTCTTCGTAGCTTGCCTTCAAACTCGAGCAAAGATAAAAAAAAAAAAGAATCCTAAGAAGAAAAGGAAGCGGTTCGTTAACGAGAGATGAGTCGAGGAGGGGGTGGTGCGTTATACGCGTCAGATTTGATCGAGGGGAGGGGGAGGGGAGCGAGTTGTATCGGGTGTAATCGGTTTCCTCGGGGAATCCCACCCTCTCCGTGGGCGCCGGCGAACCGGAGGGATAATTTGCGGCGTCTCGACGCGGCTGCGTGGTCCAATCCGCGATACCAGCCAATCGGCTCACGGCTGCGCGGGCTCGAGAACAAAAGGATCTCCGCCGATAGAGAGGAGAGGCGGCCGCGATCGCCATGCAGGGACCGGCAAAAACCATCGTGCTTCCATCGATTACCTCCCCTCACGAGCCCCCTCCCCCCTCGATAAAACGCTCTCCTCCGACGAGGAGGAGGAGGAGGAAACCTTCGACTTTCAGTTCTCGCGTTCAGTACACGCGACGTATTTTTGGTATTTCGTTGAAAAAGATTGAAACGAGGGAGAAAACGAGGGAGAAAAGTTTGGAAATTTTTTTCTTATGGAAATTTGGAAGATTGGAGATTAAACTGGAGATGATATTTCTGGTTGGAAGGGAGGATATGATTCGATTTAGCGGAGATTTAAGGAGATTTAATGGAAGATTGGCGGGATTTTCAGGTGGTAAGGAGGACGATCCGAAGAGTTCCTCGTCGAGCACGCTGAGCTCGGCGCAGAGCAAGAAGCAGAGGAAGGCGCGCACGGCTTTCACGGATCATCAGCTCCAGACCCTCGAGAAGAGTTTCGAGCGGCAGAAATATCTGAGCGTGCAGGACAGGATGGAGCTTGCGGCCAAGCTGCAACTGACCGACACCCAAGTCAAGACGTGGTACCAGAACAGAAGGTAAGGATTAAACGCGAAATCCGTGGAAATTTACGATCCATTGCACCACCGTGACGATGGAGGGGGATGCAGATAATCTTGGAGAGATGGTGAACAACCTTCTCGCGACGCGGACGACTCCCGTTGAATCTGAATGGCAAATCGAATTAAAACGATAAATCGCTGCTCGAGTTTTATTTTTTCAAAATTCAAAAATACGACAATTTCCTCCATCTTCTTTTCTTTCTATCGCGCGCGAAATTTGATCTCGAAATCGGGTGAACGAATATCGAACCACTTATCTCACCTTGGAAAATCGAGATTTTCTCCAAGGGATTAAATTTCGGGTTCTCATTTAATAAAAACTTAACCAATTAATAATCATTACGAGTTATCTTACGATTAAAACGACAAGAGAATCTTTGAGAGCGAACGATCGAGAAGATTGCTACGCGCGAAATCATGATCGATCGATCGACACTTTGGTCACTCTGTCAATCGAAGGATGGTCGCCCCTCCTCGATCGAGGCGGCAAAAATCTTCTCGTGACAGGCCGTGTCGAATTTGTAAATGGAAATCGCGGCGGCCAACAAAGGGGCTGTTTACGTGGTTAAACGCAAGGATCACGGAGGAACACGGAGAACGTTTCGAAAGTCATGTTTGCCCTCTTCGAAGGTTCGAGTCGAAAGATCGGTCGGTCGGTAATCACGGCAGTGATGATCCTTTGAAAGAAAAAAAAAAAATCTTTTGAGGCTTTTTATCGCGAACGAGTGATACGTTAAATTATCACGATAATTTTGACGGAAAGATGGAATCGTTCGTTATTTTATTCGTTTCGAGGAGAATCGAGGATTTTCGAGAATTTAAGGATATCTCACAAAAGGAGTAAAAATTCGTTCGAAAATTAAAAGAGTAAAAAGTTTACTCTAATTTCGATAAATTTCGATGGAGGGAGAAAAAATCGAAGGGGAGGCTCGATTTTTAGGATCTTTAGCGGCATCCTTTGTATACGGACAACGGTTTCCACCGAGTCATTCAGTGGCGCCTGCAATTTCGTCTCGATACTTCCCTATCTTTCCTCGATCATCACGCTCGTTAGTCACGAAGATCCAGTTATTTTAACATCGAGCAAAAAAAAAAAATTAAAAAGATTGCCTCTCGATTCGAGGCTTAAGGGAAATTTTGAAAAAAAAGAAAAAGTCTTTTAACCATTGAATAATCCCTCCAAGCATTCAACAATGAAATCCGATTAAACTCTACCACTACCAGCTACTTGAATTTTAATACCGAGTCATTGAAACATCCTTCCTTCCCTTTGTCTTTTCGTCTGCAAAACCATCGAATTTTATAGAAAATGTAAATTTCCCCGCACAAAGGAATATTCTCAGAGAAAACCGCGAGACCCTCTTTCTTCACACAGAGATCGCTTCCCCGAACTTCTTTGAAACCCGTTTTTCTCGCCACGCGCGTTTCACTTTCCACGAAAGAAGAAATTTCTTCGTCCCGATCGAAATGGCTTCACGCCAATTTCCACCCCGTTGTCGAGCCCCTCCCTTGTGGTGGAGGGTGATTAGCCTCGAAACACCCACACGCACCGATGACTGCGCGACTTCTGCCGATCGACGAGCTCAAAGAAGGCGAATCGTTAATGAGAATCTCCCAACCATCGTGCACGAGAAGAAGAAAAAAAAATACGGAGGGCAACGAGCAAAATCTCTCTCTAAACCGTGCCATTAGACTGTCAATTACCGTGGCGACCGTGCTCCGTAATGACAGACGTCGAAAAATCGGCCATTTCGACGTTTCGGTGGCTATTCACAGTTTCTCGAATCTTCTAATTGAGACCGGTCCCCTCGAATCGCTTCGCCCATCTTGCGACCGAAATCCTAATCCTCCTAACAGCCGCCATACTTGGAGCAACAATAAATAAGAAAGAAATAAGAAACTTTCGAGAAGAGAAATATATATAATACTCGCCATAATTGCGACTTTTGCGATCCGAGTGTAAATTTTTCTTCCATTTTTATCCCATCCCAATTGATTCTCTCTCTCTCTCTCTCTCTAAGATTACACACTTTCGTGCAATTATGGAAGAAAATATGCTCGTATCGACGATACGATTCGAAGCGGGGTTAATTAATCGGGAAGAAGAACGACGAGGAGGACGATGACGACGACGACGACGACGACGTCATGATGATACGCGTGCCATGATTATCGCCGGTTTTCGATGAAAGAGAGAGGGGAGGGGGGCCGCAAAAAGTCGGGAAAATTAGTGACGCTTCTGTCAGCCGGCTTCTTAAGTGCCCGCTTAAACTTTTGTTGCTCCGCTTTCTTCTGCCTCGCCTCGAGTGACTCGGCGCCTTTTCGCCGCGGAGGCGCCGACCACACCTCGGGCGCCACGACGGCCAACCGATCTCCTCCCCTGTGTCCCTCTTCAACTATCGCCCGTAAGAAGGGGTGGCGAGCGAGGGGTTTTCAACGCGGTTTATTACCTCGTCGTATGAATTTTTCGCCAATTTCTTCGACGACGCGGTCAACGAGAGCGGAGGGATGCGTTTCGAGATGAATGGCTCGGCGATGAATCTCTCGAGGCGTCACCACTTTCGACGAGGAGGAGTGACAAATGACTTTTCGATATATCCTTTCCTTTTCCTTTTTTTTCTTTCGGATTTTTCATCAAGGTAATTTCTCACGCCAAGTTGTAACGGGTAATTAAAGGGATACAAGGGGGTTCTCTTTCGATCGATTAGAGCAACGATTTTTCAACGATACGTAATATCGCCACGCTTCTTCTAATTTTATTCTTCACGAAAATTATTCTTGTCTCACGACGATAAATTACGATACGATTATATATAGCATTGCCACGCTTCTTCTAATTTTATCTTTCACGATTATGATAATAAATTACGATACATTTGAACTTCAGTTTAACAAAAAAAAAAAAAAATACGGAAAAATCGAAGCGTGTCAATAGAAAAATTCCATCTCGATTAGAGCAACGTATTTT